CGGAGTTAATCAACGAGACTTCCAAGGACATAGTCGCTAAGCTTCGCAACGTGATACCTGCTAACAATCCACTGGTGCATGGCATGGGATGAACACGCCAGCAGCAGGGCCAGGTGGCTTGGACTATGTAGGACTCTGATGACAGGTCTGACTCAGATGCGAGGAATGGCCATCTGAGACCATCAACGCCGCCGTCGGTGGCTTCTACCTGCAGGAAGCCAAAGTGGGGCATTTTAATCGAGGACTTTGACGGTTTGAGACCTGCTACGGCTTACAAAGCAACACGGGCCGTACGGCGAGAATGCGTGCCGAAGAGTCGCAAGCTCCTTCCCGCGCAGGGGAAAGATGAAAAGGAAACCATGTTGGCTGAAGGGATGAAAACCAAGTGGCGGCAATGGTCCAGGAGGCGCACCATCTGAGACATGGCATTGCTTCTTTATTTACCCTCCCGTGTCGTACATGATATGTTCTGCAGGAAGAGGAGGCTATCAGCCATTGAGGGAGGGGCCGAGGACAATGTTTCCAAGCCAGCTACGGAGACAGGCGGGAGGTGCTGCCGCCCGGTAGCAATTTATTTTCATTACTCGAGGTTGTTCGTCATGGAAGTGCAGGGCAGTGTTGATCGATGTTCGGAACTTGGTAAGAGCAAGCCATGGAGGAGTTGCTGCAGATGCCCAAGGCGGTGGGCAGCGTCTGTAACGGATGACTGGCGAGGCCTAGATGGTGTTTTCCGTGAGACCAATCGTTTAGATGGGGAAGCTATACCAGCTGCAATCTGGCACCATCCGACACATGTTCAGCTGTGGGCCGGACGGGGATGTCGAGGAGGGGGCGGCCGTAGACGAACGTCCCAAGAGCCCTGGCTGCTTCTCTCATACGATGACGCTGGGTTTTGGGGGTATCCAAAGGCGATGTTTTGATCCCCGCCGGCATATAGGTAATGGGACTCGATAATGCTGACATTGGCAAAGGGAGCTGAAAACACCCCCTCCCCCATTCGGAACAACAACCCGGGTTCCAGACCTATTTCCTACCAGCACACCACTACCAACAGACTTTTCTGAACGGTTGCATGGCGTCTGCTACACGACATAAGGGTATGTATGCTGTATACCCGACGCCGTCTGCCAGCATGCCCGGCGGATGCGCTGGAGATCTGTTATCCCAATGGCACCGCGCCCTCCATCAAAATCGGACGACAACGAAGAATGAAGACCGGGCGAATCGGCGGTTACAACTTCCGGTTTAGTTATGAGACACGTTTTCTTCCACCACCATTGAGTAGCGGCACCGGCGGTGGCGGCGGCGGTGGCGGCACGTCAACCCAGCCATGACGTCCCCAGCCCAGTCGAGACCCAAACCCATATCCTAAACCTCTCACGATTGGCCTTGAAAAGAGAGTGAGAGAGAGACACATCCACGGAAGACGCGAGCGAATGACTCAATGTGAATTCTGTCAGGTTGGAACCAATGTAACCAGCACGCCAAGCCCACGCTTTGCAGCTGTGTGATACGGTTCCCGTCGCCATCTAGACCGCGCCAGTAGACTCAGCTCAAGTCCCGAAGACCAAGTATATGGCGTAGGCCCGCGGGCGTGCCTCAAAACACGATTCGTCAACCCACACTTCCTCCCGGTCACACGGCGCACGAAACGATGCACGGCGGCTTACACGCAGAGGAAGCCCCAACCCCGAGGACGCAGTCATCGAGGAGATGGTGAGCCCGCGATCGCGGTCTCGGGAAGGGAAGCGGCATTTGTACTCCGTCCCTCTCAACCCCTCATCTCGTCCTTACTCCGTAGATACCCGAGCCTTGCTCTCACTCAAGAGACTAGTACACGGTGATACTTCCCGCCGCTGGTGCCAAAGCCGGGGAGCTGCTATGAGCCGCCAGAGCCCAAGGCATGGCCCTCCCTTTCCCACCCTCCGCAGCATTCGGTGAAGGGTGGGAATGCGGCGCATGCAGGATGTCGTACACCCAATGGGGCGTGTGCTTGTGTACGTTTTACGGTTCGGGAGTACAACAGTTCAGTCACCGAACCACATTAGACCCTGCAGCATGCGGTGCTTACTATGTATGCCCTCATCTCTCTCGTGGGAAACGGAAGACAGGCTATTGCCTAGTCCTTGTGGGCAGGAGGTTAGGAGAGCAAAGAAAATGCGTCTTCCATGGGTAACTTTGATGACCGCGGGTCCAAGGGGAGCGCGTTGTGGTACATGGCGCACATCGAGGACGGGTTTCCACGCGCGCTCGCACGTTGCTTTCTGGTCCTGCTCGCTTTCTCCCCTCCCCGCCCGCATCCGGCTAGCTGCACCGAGAAAAAAGGGGGAAGGTTGTCGAGTGGGCACCTGCAGCACGGTAACCTAGTACCGGCCGGGGGGTGGGAGTCGTGGTCGATCGTGGCCCGGCTCTTGGGAGCTTGGGGTGTGTGCGCGGCCGTTGTTGTTTCTGGCAGACCTGCATGCGAGATAGTAGCGGTGAAGGGGGTCGGTGTACTGCATGCTTGTCCGGGTCGGTTTACTGGGGGAAATCGAGGTCCCGCTTTCTCGCCTGCTCTCCTATCGTGTTGCGTAAATCAGCTCCCAAGAGGTAGAGATGGACAAGAAAAAGATGAGAAGGTGAAAGAAGCCAAACGAAACCAGCCCAAGACACCTGGCGGAACTCTCGCGCGTCCCAAGTCCCAAGACATGGAAAGAAAGGAGGTCGAGCGTAACTTGATCCGACTGAGTGTGATGTGGGTGGAAACCCTGGAACGGGAAGATCGGTCCGCAGGGGGATTGACGTCTTGTGACTTGCTGTTACCCAACATGTCTCGATGGCTGTACAACCATGATCCGGCCGAATGGGAATACACCACATGGATGCCACTTGGGCGAAGATATGCCTCTTGCACACATCCATCACGCCCTTGTTGTAGAGACACTGTCATGCAAGGCCGGAAAGCGGTTGATGTAAAGCGTACACATCTTGACTTGGCAAAGGCCTGCCGCGGGAGAATGCAGTGCAGCAGGGAAGCAAGTTATGACACCCCTGCTTTTGAATCGGTGAGCCAGACCGACAATTTTGTATGTGGGCTTCCACGCATTGGGAGCCTCCGACACACAAGAGCGGACGCAACTATACGACTCGTCTCGCAGCTAGTGTCTTCCCAAGCCTCTGGGAACGATACCCGGTTGGAGGGAGCACAAGCGAGGAAGAGTAGCAGTTGCCCAAAAAGGCGTCCCGATAAGGTGCGAGTTCCATGACCCTCCCAGACTGGGATTCTGGTTCGAGGGTGACGGCCCAGCGTGGCCGGCGATGATCTGCTTGGGTCTCGCATGGCTGGGTGATACAACGTCGGATTCAGCTACGCGCACCCAGGTTCAACGCCCGTCCAACTCGCGATCTTTAGCCAATCCGCGAGGAAGAATTCCTTCCTTCTCTGCGGGCCAAGCCCCCTCCCCGGTCGAGGGAGACGGGAAATAGGGGAGGGGGTCCTGCCACACTTTCTCGGGAAGCAATTGTTGCTGCGCTGCGGGAAGACCCGGTTCGTGAGGAAGGCGAAATAATGTCTGTAGTGAGCCCGTGAGATTTGACCCAGTCCCATGCGCGGTGCGGTCATGATTTTTCGGGGACGGGCCGGAGGAGGTCGGCCGATTGGGTGGTCCTCATGGAGACTGCAACATCCCCCCCGGGCCGCTCGTCTCGCCGCAATGAGACAGGGCCCTTTACCTCTCTTCCTTGGACTGACAGGTAACTAGCAACTGACATGCTTTCATGGTGCATACCATAGAGGGTATACAAGCAAGGTACTTGTTGCGGGAGTACCTTGGGGCCTACAAGGGGTCAGATCCTTCTGAAGAGCGTACGAATAGGCACTACACGCCAAACGAGACGAGAGACGGGCTAGGTTTCCTGCGACCTCGTTCACCGACCCCGCGGGCGAAATATGAGCTGTCATCGGAGCCAGTGACCAAATGCTCCGATTATAATACTACGATCCGGCGCTCGGAGTAAGCGGAAGAAAAAAAGAGAGAACTGATGTCAGGACAAAGCAATTGAGAATCATCAGCATCAAGCGGACGACGTGTCGTGGTAAGCGGCGAGGGTGTCGAAAGCGGTTGGTGCCCCTCCTCAATGTTCGTAGGGGTAAACACGTTGCAGCAGTTGGAATAGTTCGGACGAATGGTAGGCGAGGTTGGTTGTTGTACTCGACTTGGGAAACCATCCGCTCTTTTCTGTGTTCGGGAAGCAAAAGGCAGAGAATGGGACGTTGGTCTTTCACGGCGAGGTGTGGATCAGGATGGGGGAGGGGGGACACACCACCACCACCGCCGTGAAGGCAAGCCCATACCTTGTAGTACGTAGTACCTAACTACCTAGCTTCAGCGGGTCGTCGCCCTCTCGTCGCCCAGTTCGACAGTGCCATCGCAAAACTCCAGACCGGCCCCACGTGCCCGCCGCCTGCCGCGACCGGAAACCCCTGCATAGCCTCAGCCTTGCGCTCACCCGCCTGTGAGAACAGCTCGTCAGCTTTGGGTGCGCTGAAGCTTCCCCAGGAAAGACGCCCCCCCCCCCCCTCTAAAAATAAATAAAAAAAAGTCAGCCTCGCCACCAGGAACCACCGCCAGCATTAACCAAGAATACCCAATTAACGACCAGCTTTGTCCCTTTTGACAAGAACGTTCAAATTTTTAACTCCCAGACGGTGTCACTGGTAAGCTATGGATTGCCCGACGTAGCTATACACCGCTGACAAGGAAACTGCATGGCTAAGCCAGCTTTCGTCGACCACGCACCCGGCCTCGCGCGCATTCATCCGCTCCCGCGCCCATCGATCCGCTCCGGCAGTTGAGCGAGACGTTCCTCTTCGACGGAACCCTCCGAAAAGCAGCCAGCACACGTCAGCGGGGAAAGGCCTGTCGGACAATCGCTTCACCTGAGGATACACGAGACCCCGGCCCAGGCGCGCCTCGAGGTCGCTGCTACACATACACACTCCATCCCCCAGATCCGCCAACATGTCAAACCAAACACCTTCAACCCCCGTCAAGGTACCGCCCTCAGCCGCCAATCACTCAGCAGCGACCCTGGACCCCGAGCTCCGGTCACAAATCAACACATTACTACTCAAGGACGGTCACGTCACCAAGTAGGCGATCCGCTTCCCCCCCGCCCGCGGTCTGAACCCAGCGAGACTAACATGTCCCTCCCCTCCTCCTCCCAGGATCCAAGAACAGCTCCTCCACTCCCTCCACGCAAATCAAGCAAATTGGCCGACCCTGATCCAGAACCACGCCCTCAACCTCCTGCGCACGGGCGAGGCCACAACCTTCCCAGACCTCCTCCGCCGCGTTCTCGACGACGTCCGCCAGGACACACTCAACCCCTCGGCATCAAACACCTCCCCCTCGACGTCCAAGACGAACGGCACAGCCGGTGCAGACAAGGACAAGGATAAGGACAAGAAGAGCAACGGCACCACAAGCTCCACACCAGCGGCCGATTCCAGCGGGCAGACAAGCCTCGCTATCCCTGCAACCGTGATTGCTGAAGCCATCAAGGTCACGCAAGAAAGCCTAGAGGCCGTCTGTGAAATTGACAGTGCGGGTAACTAGGGAGACATATCTTTTTGACGGCGTGGTGTAGGGACGGGGCGTAGAGAAAGGGGGGCCTTGAAAAGGGGGACAGTCCTGGGAACAGAATGGTTACTGGCCACGTCCTGACGGGCCGGTCTCCAAGAGAAGTTCAATGCCACCACTCGTACTGTGAGTGAGAGGAGCAAGGCAAGGCATGGCTGTGTGGGAGGCACAGAGCCAGCTTTGATCATGAGAAGCAAGCTTTAATGTCAACCTGGAATAGTGTGTCGGCGGCACTACATACGTGTGTGCGTACAAATTTGGAATGAGTACGTGTGGAACGGCCTTCCTTTGTTTTGGGAAGAGCATACGATATCAGCCTTATAGAAATTGGTCCGCTATGGGCAATAAGCAGCACACCGGCCGGCCCAAAGATCACATAAAATAATCCTGATTTCCTTATTGCCGCGTCATGGCCATCTCAACCACCTTCACTTGGCGGTTGCCCTTTCATCCCCCCTGCCCAGCTTATTCGATAACGTTTCTCAAACAATCAACGATACCAGGTAGCCACAGTCGACGCCCAACACATCTGCACGGAAACAATGTCACATCATGCACAGATCGAGACGACTCTTAGGTGATCAACTATCATAGAAAAACTGCCTGTCTACCAACTCCGTCCGCCTCCAGATTTCCGCCGATAGGCACGAATTTCTGTGACCCGGCCCACCATCCGTACGTATGATGACGCAGATGCATCGGAGAGCAAAAGGAAAAACTAGAATACAACGAAGGCGTGGCCTGTATCAAGTGGCATCTGGCCCACCCTTTAGTCGTAAAGGTCATCATCGTTACCAGCATCGCCGAAGCTGTTGGCAGCTTCGTTGGCAGCGCCCTCGCCCTCGGGGAACTTGAAGTACGCTCCAGGTCCAGCGTTCTTCATCTGCTGAGCAAAGGCCTCGTACCGGCGGATTTCAACGTCGCTGACAGAGCGGCGGGCCATCTGCATGGCCTCCTCAAAGTGGCGCTTGGTGAGCTCGGGGACGGGGTCCTCCTCGTCCTCATCCATGGCCTCTTCACCAGCGGCCTCGCGAGCCTTGGTCTTCTGGATGTCGGCAGTAATAGCCTCCTTGATGGCGAGCTTGACAGCACGCTGGGTGATGAAGCCAAGATCGGCACCGGAGAAGCCGTGGGTCTTGGAGGCGATGAAGTCAATATCGACGTCAGCAGCAACGGGAGTCTTGCGGAGCTGAGCCTTGAGGATACCAGCACGGGCGGGCTGGTCGGGCAGTGGGACGTAGATGAGGGAGTCCAGGCGGCCAGGACGGCACAGAGCAGGGTCAAGCTGCTCGGGTCTGTTGGTCGCACCAATGACGAAGACGTTCTTCTTCGAAGTCATACCATCCATCTCTGTAATCGGGTTAGCTTGTGTTTACTGGCGATCGTAACATGTGAGAACTTACCAGTGAGAAGCTGGTTGACAACACGGTCGGAAGCACCGCCAGCGTCGCCCATGGACCCACCACGAGCCTTGGCAATAGAGTCTAACTCATCGAGGAAGACGATGCAAGGAGCGGCGGCACGAGCCTTGTCAAAGATGTCGCGGATGTTGCTCTCAGACTCACCGAACCACATGCTGAGAAGTTCGGGTCCCTTGACAGAGATGAAGTTGGCAGAGCATTCGTTGGCGACAGCCTTCGCCAACATCGTCTTACCAGTACCGGGGGGTCCGTAGAACAGGACACCACGGGACGGAGAAAGACCGAACTTGAGGAACTTCTCGGGGTGGTCGACGGGGTACTGAACGCTCTCTTGCAACTCGGCCTTGACGGTTTCGAGGCCACCGATATCCTCCCAGCGAACGTTGGGCACCTCGACGACGGCAACCTCGCGCAGAGCGGAGGGGTTAGAAACGCCGAGGGCGAAGCGGAAGTTCTCCATAGTGACGCCAAGAGAGTCAAGGACCTCGGCGTCAATGGTGTCCTCGTCGAGGTCGATGAGGTCCATCTTTTCACGGATCTGCTGCATGGCGGCCTCGGAGCAGAGAGCAGCGATATCGGAACCCACGTAGCCGTGGGTCTCGGCAGCAATCTGCTCCAGGTCGACATCATCACCAAGCTTCATGTTCTTGGTATGAATCTGAAGAACCTCAAGACGACCGGTAGGGTCGGGGATACCAATGTCGACCTCACGGTCAAAACGACCGAAACGACGCAGAGCAGGGTCGATCGAGTTGGGACGGTTGGTGGCGGCCATGACAACAATGTTGGAGCGGGCCTTCATGCCGTCCATGAGAGTGAGAAGCTGAGAGACGACACGACGCTCGACCTCACCGTTGGTCTTGTCACGCTTGGGCGCAATAGAGTCGATCTCGTCGATGAAAATAATGGCGGGAGAGTTCTTCTCCGCCTCCTCAAAGGCCTTGCGCAAGTTCGACTCGGATTCACCGGCCATCTTGGACATGATCTCGGGGCCGTTAATCAGGAAGAAAAACGCACCCGTCTCGTTGGCGACAGCTCTTGCCATCAACGTCTTACCGGTACCGGGAGGCCCGTACAAAAGCACACCACGAGGGGGCTTAATACCGATAGACTTGAAGAGCTGGGGATGACGCAGAGGAAGCTCAACCATCTCGCGGATCTGGGCCATCTGCTTTCTGCAGCCACCAATGTCATCGTAGCCGACCTCGTTCAGGTTGCCCTCCTCCTCGTCACGCTGAATAGGCTCACCCTCGCAGTGGATGACCGTGTCTTGTGCGACGATACCGTATTCGGGGGGGTCAACCTCTACGACCTTGAACTCTACTTGTCTCATACCGCCGCGAACAATGAAGAGATCGCCCTGGCGGACGGGTCTGTAGGCCTCGCGGAAGTAGGGAGCAAGGAAAACGTCGAAGAGGGAGCCGGTGATACCCTCAACAGTGTCGGCAATGGGAAGGACTGCAATACGCTTGGCCTGTGGGGGAGTAAGCTAACAGTCCTGGGCAGGTTGCAGGTTTTATGATTTGCACGTACGTATTTGATGTCCGGGCAGGGGTGGATGGTAATCATGTCACCATGCTTCACCCGCAGGTTGTGGCGAACGACTCTGTTGATGCGAGCGCTGCCATCGTCGAGCTCATCATCGGCAAGAACGATCAGAACGGTGTCCTTTCTCTTCTTGCCGCGCACGAGCACGGTATCGCCACGGAAGAGCTGAAGAGCCTCCATGGTGTTCTCGGAAAGGGCAATGATGGAGTTGTCGTCATTGACGGCATCGGTAACCCTGCTACAGTTAGTGCCTGGAAGCTTGCCCCACGTGGTCCAGAGCTCACGTACATCAGCTGGTTGGGCTTCTTCTTCTTCTTCAGAATGGCGGTCGCGACATCGTCTTGCTGTTTGCTTCATCAGTACTGCTGTCATTTGTCACCGGGTTCATAGAAGCTGAGGGAGCACAAACATCCTTGACCTCGGCACCGGAGGCATCCCTGGTAGATAGTGTCAGCGTCATTCGTGCCGGGTGGAAGGTACTACTCGAAACAGGAGCAGCGGGCGTCTACTCACGTCAGGTTGACCTTCTTCTTGTGTTCGGCCGGCTGTTCCGACGGAGGCGCCATCTTGACTATGTGTTTCTGATGATTCGGGGATTCGTATGCGTTCGGATGATGAAGTGTTGGAGGTGGGATCGTCAGCGGTGGGGTTGAGCTGTCGATTCGCTTGTTTCCGTGGGATCAGGAAAGCGGGAGGAAGAACGACGGTAATTGAATTTTATATCCCTTTCCTTGGAGATGTGTATGGGAAAAGGAAAAAGGTAATTCGTGGTTTACGGGGATAAAAGATGGGAGGTTTGGAGATGGGAAGCTTTGTTTCGGAGAACAAGCAGGTGCGGTGCTGTAAAGGCCAGCCAGCAAGAGGTGGTGACGGGAGGCGGCAATCACTGGGAAGCGGTCCCTGGACGACCAATGAAATCATACAGTGGGGCGGATTAAGTGGCCTCCGGCGGCTTCGGACTGCTTAGGTAAGGCGGCGCTCCAGGGTCGAGTATGGCCCTAGCTCTATCATTGAGGTGTCGTCAGGGCAGTGGAAAGTGTTCGAAGCTTCCACTTGGTCAGGTTGCTGACCTTGAGGGCCCAGTAGGCAGCCTTTGGCCGCGCACTCACTCAGCGTGTCGGTGTCGCACGCACGTCCTCCCACCTAGGTAATCCAAGTGTGCCAAGCTACCTACCTGGCACCTACCCACCTACCGAACTCCATTGCACGCCACTTTGCTTTTCGGTATTTTCTTATCGTCTTTTGGAATTAGTGAGCTTTGCCGATATGGAAAGTCCAATCCACACCTTGGGCTCACCGCAGTAACCTCACCACATACCATGGGTATTGCGTCTCTCCCCTTCTTTCCCACTACGTTTCGCCACCTAAGGAGGGCCTTGGTGGGATTGTTGCCTATGGATCAAACCTTGGCTAAAATGCACGCGATGTCCACCCGGCAAACAGAGCGAGACACAGACGGAATGAGCGAGCGACTTTCTTTGTTAATCTGCAACAAGGCATCCAAAGAAGCGGCAAATCCGATATTAGGTTCAGGCACTTCAAGACCCAGCTCCTCCGCCCTCAGAAAAATCGCCATCCCGACAACTCCCGTCACCGAAACAGGCGATGCATGCGGCGGCAAAAGGTTGACGACTGGAATTTCTGCCTACTGCAAGCAAACGGGCCTTTCCCTTCCCCAACGCACATCCACTCTTTGCAGACACCCCTGTAGACGAGTCATCCGGCGGCGGCCATCTTGCCTCCGGATGAACCCTCTAGCTACGCCTCCAATCAAACAGCAAAGGTACGGTTGTCCATTGCCTCCTGCTTGGAAAGCGGCCACGTCGCTACCTTCTGCCGCCACCCAAGATGCTTCGGGCTGTTGACCGAGTGGTCGAACACCGGGACCGCGGCACCGTGTCGCATGGTCGGGATGAGGTTGATATGGTGCTCCAGCAGTCTGAGCCCGAGGATGCCGACCCCGGAGCGGGGGCTGCCGGCTGCGATTCGCCCGTAGCGGTCATTGGCGTGCAGAAACGCCTCAGACAACCACGAGAGCGCCAGGGGGTTGTTGTTGTGGCGAGCCAAGCTGTGATTGTGACTCGACGAGTCGGTCCGTCTGCGCTTGTCGTCAGTGCTTGACTTTCAATCCGCGCCGGGCACTACCAATGTGAGGCCGGGGTGGACGGTTGAACTTACGTACCTGTTAGCCTGGCCCGCGGCGTCAGAGCCAACCTCCACAATGTCGGATTTGACGCTCATCTGAAGTGAGATCCCGGCGGTCTTTTCGGTGTCACGGAACGGACTGAGCTGCCGGCGTGTAGTGAAATCGTCTTCGGCTTTTCGCTTGATGAATATTGAGAAGGAGCAGATGCGATTCTCGCGTAGCTGGACACGCCAACGATGAAGATCCAGTGCCACGACCACCCCAAGTTCAATTAATCAAAGTGAGCGCGAAGTCCTCTTATAACGTAGCACCCCGACCACATCCCAGTGCCCTTCCGCTGGCCTCCCGTTCGGCTCTGTCCATCGTCCCAGACATCCGGCACTATCTCTTGAAGATGTAGCAGGTTGCTGCAGGCATATGCAGCCCAACTGGGCTCTGCTGCATATTTGGGGGCTATTGGCTGTGCAAGGCCAAGCACCTCGAGCAGCCAGCAGGGGAGCCAGCCTGGTCTTACAGGAGAGCTTGTCTGCCATGCCTGCTGCTTCTTTGAGATACGAGTAGGTAACTCCTCTTTTGAACCCCATCTCTTTGGTCGACTCGGCTTCCCCATTTGAATACTTGCTTCCGTCATTGTCTATGGTTTTTTCTGCCAATACTACCTCCTTGCACAGCAAATTGGTTGCAAAACTATGTAGGACGAGATCACCTCCCAAAGGTAGCTTTAAAAAAGGTAGCACAAACACTCAAAATCAACTGGGCCTCCATCCTCGAAACTTGAAGTCCGATTTGGAAAGAGTGAACTGGGATAAGTAGCGCCATGCAGGTGTGGGCGTGTCCCTCTACCTCAGCTGCAGCCTGGCCATCCCTTGCAGACAGGAGTCTAGAAACGATCTTGGATGCTGTGCAGGCGTACAGCATCTTGGCTTCCCGGAGAACGACGCTCTACACAGCCCCTTTCGTTCTAACCAGACTCGTCCAGAAGCCCTGTCGTCACCATGATGGCTGTCAACCTGCCAATATATGACCCTGACAGTCTCTCCATCACCCACGCATGCCCGTGTAAATCCCAGGTTATTGTTTTTTTGGCCCCCGAGTTGGAACAGGCAATGTGATTGATGCTCCAGCTTCTGGTCGATAGGCAAACAACGGCTGCTCAGCTCCGCTCTTATCTCTCATCACAGAAGATCAATGCTATACCATACTAAGACACAGTTGTCCATGAATGACATGCATGAGAGCAAGTGGGAACTTCACAGCCTTGTTAAGCCTCTCCCCACCTGCCGTTCAGCCGGTCCCGTTCAAGCCTGCCTAGGCAAACGCTGCGCAGCTCTTTGGCCGTAAGCACTAACACAAACTGTCGATGCTGTGCTGCAGGTTCCGGCCCCCAACCGCTACGTCAACCCCATCTCTTGTTCAGCCTAGACTGGCCTGGGGGATGGGAGATAGGAACATGCTGCAAGTGCTTCCGGCTGCCTCACCCGGTTGTCATTCCTTTGCTCTGGCGACAATGAGCACATAGTCTCGGGGTCACAGCCTTCTCTTGTCAATGCCAGGAGAACTGTCCTTATGGATCACAAGCAGTAACGTTCCAAGACATTGCGGTGATAGGAAAGTTTGAGTTGTGCTTGGTAGTAGACGCTATGGCCAAGATATTGTACTAAATGATGACCGCCATCCCTGGGATGCAATGACAGACGATTAGGCATAAACTCCTGTTCCCCGTATGCCGTCCACCGATTGTTGAGCGACAAGAACGCCTAAGTGATGCAGTAGAAATAAAACCTCGCTTTTCTCTTTTCGGCCGTTTCCCAAACCAACTCCGTTTTTGCTCCTTTTCTTTTCCCAGGCGCCTGTTTCCATCATGGTGAACGATTATTAGTCCTGTGAGTGCGGCGGTTGGTATCGCATCTGCAGAACCCATTTATCATCAAAATCGATACCTCTTCTGATCTTGGTTCCGGCCTTCTTCCACACCGTAGCGCCAAGACCCATGTCGGCGATAAACAACTTCCAGTCTTCCTCCTCAGCAGCGGCGGTCTCGGCGCCAGTAGGATCCGAGTCCGAAACAGGAGCCATTGCTTCAAGCAGTCCTTTCTTCGGGGCGCCCATCGCCACCACGTAACGAGGCTTTACGTAGAGACGACCGCCATCGATGATGCTGACTTTGCCGGTCGACGGGTCGATACCAGTTGGCACGTCGACTGCGAGAACGAAGGCCTCGTTACGGTTGGCCCACTCTATCAATTCGTACACGGTAGCCTGATCCCCGGTCCGCAGCTCTTCAAATGAAATCGCCAAGCCCAGGAGAGCATCTATGATGAGGGACACTGATGTCGCTGGGGTTGAGGCTGTCTTTCGGAGCTGTTCGAATAATTCGAGCTTATTGTGCACGCGGCCCCCAAAGTTCCGGAAGATTCTGATTTGTTGTCGCATGTCTTCCAGCAGGTCACGCTCGCGCTCGATGCCGACAACGCACACGAGTATATTGAGGCCCTTGTTCCGCAGATGCCGGGCTGCTGAGATGGCTCTTATGCCGGACTTGTTGTTGCCGGCGAGAATGACGATTGTAGCAGACGCCGCCAAGCTGTTGTTCTGAGCATTGGCACCACCAGTGCCAAACCGGACCTGTATCGCGGGGTCTTCAAGCGCCCGCAATGTAACTTCAGCGATACCTCGGCCTGCGTTCTCGGCCATCATGTCTTCCGTGAGTCCAATCTCATTGGCCGCAATGTTCTCCAGGTTGAGCATCTGGAGAGCCGAAACGGTTTCAAGGCGTCGGTTTGACGGCACAAGATAGAAGCCTGCCTGCGTAATATGCTGCATGTGGTTAGCACCCATGATACTACGTGGGCTATCTTGAGAACGAAGCAACACTTGAGGCTGTCTTTCCGGACGTACGTTGGAGTTGACGCGATTCAGGGGCTGGCTGTTGAGTTGCGCGCTTGCCTTCCGCGACTGCGATCTCCTAGTCGCCCCTGATTTGCTGTCCGCCCTACGGCTACTCTGCGCACTCCGGACATCACGCCCGCTCAGTCGATCAACTCCGTTGGCGGCATCGTCAGCCTCGCTGTTCCAGAAGTCCTGATGCGCGTTTGATGACACAGACGGCATCTCGAGCACATTCTCCGAGTAATGAAAGTTTTTGCCTCCGGCAGTTCCAGGCTTGGGTCGGCGGTTGTGCGAGACCAAGCGGTCTGCCTCGTCGATCAGATCTTCCTTACGCATCTGGTCGAAGATGGTGCGCTTGTCGAACTTGGCCAGGTTGTTCTCAAAGTCGAACTCGGCCATCTCTTCTGTGACATCTTCAGAAGCCCAGCCATTCTCAGGAAGGTCCTTCTTCCCCTTAATACCGCGCTTCAACGAGTTGAAGGGCTGAAACGAGGGCGAGCTCTGCAGCATGGGCGTTTGTCTCCATCCCTTCCCACGGGTTGCTGCGTTGCCGCGCATCGGAGTGATTTCTGGGATGGTTTCGTCTGCCGTGCTATTCCGGGGAGCTCGTTGCTTCTCTCGCCGCCGGTTCTTCTTCTTTTGCGGCTGGCCCTGGACCTCGTGGGCATCCTGCGGCACTCCGCTGCTCTCCGCCGCATATTGCCTCGCTGTAGGGGTATGCTCCTCCACGTCCAATTCCTGCAAAGTCTCGCTAAGACTCACTACGTCGTCTCGAGAGCCCCCCATGAGGTGCACAGCAGAGAGAACCCCCGGCTGCCCAGGCCGTGGATCCTTGGTTTCGGCAGCAGTGGTCTGAGGTATAACTTCTGGTAGAGTCTGCTTCTCGCTTCCGCTTCTCATATCGGAGCCAGGGCGATTCCCCATACTCAGGATCGCAGGGTCCGTGAAGGCCGGTTGCGCGGGTTGGGTGATGACGGGAGCGGGAACGGGACCAAGACCTGGCGCAGTAAAGGTGTTGGACGCGGCCTCCTCCTTGAATTCCGACAGTTCGAGGATGTTGGCAGCATCAATGACGACTCTGGGCATCCAGTGGTTCGTTCCAAGGGTAAAGACTGCAAGGGCGCATGTTAGCAAGGAGCTGGACATCAAGCGGAACTGTTAGGGACGTACCGTTGCTGAGCGTGAGGCTGTTGCCAGCCTGTATGGCGCTCACGGTGCCCTTCAGCATCGTGCCGGGAGGTTGCCTTAGCGTCACCATCATTTGCAAGCCGATGAACTCCATGGTGCCGGGTGCGTCACAACGTCTGGATGCCGAGTCGTTGACGGGATCGGGATGCACCGCGATAGATGCGTTGTGGGTCGTGCGGACAGAGCTGATGATGCGAATTGGGTTCGCTTAAAGCTCTGGAAATATCGCAAGTCGCCAAGAAAGGCCCCTATGTAGATAAGGCGGTGGATATATGTTGGCGGAGGGCGTTGGTGAGGTTGGCGTCGAGAGGGATTTGTGCGTCGACCCTGATCTTAACGAAGGAACCACCAGGCCAGGCCAGTCCCAGACAGCTTCCTTCACCCAAATCTCCCCCTCGGACGGATTCACTTGCTGGGTTGGTTTAGGTTCCCTTGACTTTTTCCCCAATCCTTATCGATAAGGCATGCACAGGGGAAGGTAAGCGCAGGGCAATAAGTGCAGGTCCTAGTTAAAAGGTCACGCGGATGTCGTCTGGTGGCGGGTAGTTACTACCCGAACGCTGCGCCGAAAGAAGAGACGAACGTCAACGACGCAAGCTTCCTGGGCGAGAACGCCAAGAAGGAACAACCTTAGGCACCTGCTGTGCAACCACCATTTCCCAGAGAAAACAAAATGCTTAAACACATGTCAAGCTGCAGCTTCAGTACCTGAGGTACACACTACTTGACACCGCCGCCTTTGCCCGTACAATGACAGGGGACGCAGGTCCACGTTCAGTGTAGGTTTGATAGTAGCTAGATGAATTATGACCCAAAACATTACGCAAACCATCACCAGGGAATGAATGTCTCGACGCAGCTTATCTTCCTCTCGCCACTTTCAGCGTTGGGGGGGAAAAAGGTCCCGTAACAAAAAATCCTGCATCAGTCAGTCACGGCCATGGAACGTCTTCCACCATCTGCCGTATCTTATTTGTTCGTTATAAGAGCAGAGGTATTCCCTTATCTACCATGTGAGCGCCCCTCTAATGGTAACCGGAGCGTCCAAGTTCAACGCCATCCATGTCCAGACAACCCATGTATACCACAAAATGAACCCCATTCCGATCCTCTCTGGGTAGCTTGAGCCGAAAACCTGCCTACGGTGGCTACCCTTCTGAACGCCATATTACGTTACTGCCAAAGTCTTTTCGTGTCCTCGAGTTCAATAGCCTCCATAGCTCGCCATCGCCTCCTCTTCATCGTCCAGGTCAATGACCTCGACCCCTCTTCTGACGAAGGATTGAGACCTCGCATTGGCGGCAGATGTGCTCTTGGCAGGCTTCGTATCTTCTCCCATGTGCAGAAAGTCGGCCATGCTAGGAGGTTTCTTCGAGATAGCCTGCTCAGCGCTATAGAGTTTGTTGTAGAACCCTATAACTCGGGGGTGGGCCATGACCTTATCCTTCTGGAAGCGAAGTACCTGCAGACCCTGTTGACTGGTAGCTCGACTGAGTGCCACGTATGCCTGGCCTTTCTCGAATACCTTGCCAAGGTCGACCTTGACTCTTTCCAAAGTTTGTCCTTGGGCCTTGTGGATCGACAATGCCCATGCGAGGATGAGGGGAAGCTGGCTTCGGCTAGCCTGCACTTCGCCCGTCGGTGTTTCACTCTTCCAATCCTCTGGAACGCACAAGATGGTACGAGTCGACCCGTCCGCTGCAGCGAATTCTACCACGGGGAATTCGGTTGTCCCTTTAGTAGCCTCTTCGACCTCTCTGCTGAAGGCCTTGATCTTGCGTTTGAGGCTCCCTTCCATGTCCACGTCACCGTCGGACCCGTAATCCGTCATATGCCAAGACTCGAAACTGGCCTCGCTCATGAACCGCGTCACCTTTCCGAGCGAACCGTTGACAAGAGTGTCATCCATGTTCTTGATCAACATGACCTGCGCGCCAACCTTCAGATCAATGGACTTTGGTGCCATCATATTCTGGAGCAGTTTGTCACGGATTTGAGGGTCCCCAGTATCAGCAGCGTCAAAACGGTACGTTTTCCCGGGCAGATTGCGCAGGCGGCTCAGGTTAGCGTTGTCGACTTCGTACCTTGTAGGGAATAACTCGGTCACTTCCAGTCCATCATCACTGACGATGGGTCTGGTCAGTTTTCTGAAAGCCTCAACCGTCTCCTCACTGATTCTTCCAAGACGCATCTCATTGAGCATATTGGCGAAGACTATACGCTGTTTAGCTGCCGCGACAGAAGCACTTTGATAATGCACATGCAAACGTACCTGGATCTCTTTGTCGGAACACTTGCGTTAAGCCAATTGTGTGCTCAATAGCCGTGTTCCACGTCGCCGCTTCAAAAGCGAATTTGGATTCCCTGCTCTTGTCGCCGTCGGGTACTGGAGGTAGCTGGAAAAAGTCGCCCGTAATCACGAGCTGAATACCACCCCAAGCTTTGCCGTTATTCCTGATGGTTCTGCCAATTTGCGAGAGTTTGTCAAAGAGGTCCCCGTCGACCATGGATACCTCATCAATGATGAGCGTCTTGGTCCGAAGCCAGCGGTTCTTGGCCTTGGGGTTCCGCCGGATCTTCTTGACCAACGTCGGAACATCTTCCTTCCCAAGGCCAATTCCAGCAAAGCTATGCAACGTCTGACCTCCGATGTTACAAGCTGCGAGACCGGTTGATGCTGTGACTGCTAGTCTCTCCGGGTCTCTTGCCCACTTCTTCTTCAGCTCGGCAATGATTGACCGCATCAGAACTGATTTTCCGGTTCCTGCCGGGCCTGTGAAGAAGACGCTCTGGCCTATGTCGACTACAAGACTCTGAACGTGTTTTTGCTCTTTGGTCAGGGCAATCGCCGATGCCTTGGGCCGTGGCAGGTTGCTCTGTGTAACCTCTTGCCGAATCTCGTCCATGTTCCATTCCTCGCTGGTCGTGGTTTTTTTGGACTTGGTTTTCAACTGTTTTTTCTGATCTTTGAGAGTACTAGCACTCATGTTCCAAGTCTCCTTCTTCTTTGCAGCAGGCGTAACGCTCCCGGCAGCCCATCGAGATATTTCAGGCTCGTCTTCCGGCAATGGGGGCTGTTCTTCTTCTTTGAAATTCCAGTTCGTCGGTAGCCTGCGCTTCTTGGGCTGCGGGGCCACTAGAGGCTGTGCATTTTCTGAAGAGTCGCGCTTGAGTGAACTTCCGGCAGAGGTCGTGCGAGACAGGGGGTGAACGAAGTGGGAGGCGGGAGATGAGGACCAGGGTAGAGTCTGGGTCGAAGGTACTTCATTCGGCGGCTCGGGTGCCTTGTTTGCCGTGGCTGGGGGCTTGGGAAGCACAGGCAGAGCCGACGGTGCTTCATAGTCGAGGTCTATTTGGTCGTCGTCGCTAAAGTCATCCTCGGCAAAGTAAACGGCAGGTTTTCCGTTGGTTGTCTGGTTTTGGCTAGGCAGGCTGGAATCAGGCTCGTCTCGAAAAGAGTCGGATTTAGAATACAGAGAAGCAAGAGATCTGCCGTTGGGAGCGGAAACTCGGTCTAGGGCAGATCGGTTGCTGTTTAAAAAGTGTGTGACACTGGTATTCCTGCCAGTTGGAGGCCTTGTCGAGTTAGAGGGTATGTTTGACGCGCTCCTCGCCGATATGGGGCCACTTGAGACCGACTGGCTCGTCATCTTGAATTGGTCTTTGATGTTCCCATTCTGGGTAGCGCTAGGGCTGCTCGAGGGAAAAAGTTGCTTGGCCAAGTCGTTCTTGGGAGGAGGCGGCGCGCTGGCCATGTAGGTCTTGTTCGCCTTGGCCAACATTGGATCTGGATTAAGATCTAGATCCAAATTGGGGGCGGCGAGGTGGGCATGAGCGATGAGGATTGCTCTGTGGGTGATTCGGCGTAGTATCGGCGAGGATCGGATAGGGAAGAGGCTGGTGATTCCAGCCGTCATCCAAGGAACTGGCTTGTTGGCATTCGTCGTGAAATGTCGTAGGTGGAGCGGGCGCGGTTCCCTTGTCGTATACTGCCGAGGAGGGGAGGACTCGACTGCAACCCGTGTTGCTGCTGTGTAGGCAAAGACAATCTCAAGTGTGGTCGGGAGGCGCGTCCCAGCGCGTCAAGGTGCACCTTTCGCGCCAAAGATTGGGAGGGGCAATTGGCAGATCCAGCTGAGTCATCTGTCACATCCCTTATGCGTGATCAGGTGCTCCGTGCAAGTGTTCCAGGGTACATACTTAGGTACATACCTGCCCAGGATGCAAATGAAGGATGGACGTGCTTGAGTTCCTTCGGCACTCCACTATGTACATCACATATCAACTTCAAATCCAAACGGGCTTCCTGTCTTTCATTTTACTGCCGAGGGACACGCATTTCAAATTCAAGGACTTCTTCCATTTCCCGCCTGATGAGCATAGCTAGACTTCCCGATTGATCCAATGACTGTCAGCCCAGCTGTCGGCATTGGCTGCCATTCGCCCACGTTTGCCAAGCAGACTCCCCCCTTTTGCATGCGATCCTACGCCTTGCTGCAATGTCGTCGAGCCGTCTGGAGCTCCGTACGCCTCACGTCGGGCATACACAGTATATACAGCCGTTCCCTACAGCTTCTATTAGGCACGAAGCGCAGGCAGACCCCGCCTGTCTGCGATTACTTATGAGAGCTTATATCTTCCATGTTCCTGGAGTTGTGCTACCTTGGCGCCTCTACCTACATCAGCTCGTTCTTTTTTCACAGTACCTATGCACGGACAAATGACATGTTGTGCAAGAACATGCTTCATCGGTTCTGATCCTTCAACATGGGACCAGAGTTTATACAAAACGTATGGGCAACCAGATTGTTTATTCAGAGGTAATGTATTGACACGGTTGGCGACGTTCTTGCTAACCAAAGACCTGCATCGCCACCGATGACATTCTCGAGTTACAACACGAAGAGGAAAAGATCATGTACGGCACACCATACTAGTAATATCTTACTCGAGCGAAGGCTTCCTTCCGCCCAGCTCGTCCAAGAGGTTCAAAAGGATTCTCAGGTAGTATCCGCGCTCCACGCTCCTGCTGCCTCATGTATCTCCGAGCTTCCATCTCGTCGAATGTTTCTTCCGGACCTTCTCGGAAAAGAGCTCCCCTATCCAGTGAAGGACGACGGAATCTTGCCAAATACCGACGATTGTGCGTGCCAGCCTCTCTCTTGTCAGCAGCCAACTCCTCTTCCCTTTCAAGCCTCATCTCGTCGCGAATTTGCAACCTTCTCACGCCATTCAAATCATCCTCATGTCTTTGACGAACGACTTCTTCTGAATCAACAACACGGAAGCTAGGACGTCTATGGATCACCCGAGGCGGCAACGCACTCTGGCGACGAAGACCGAGACCATTGAACAGCTCGAGATCGTCCAGCTCATGACCGTGCGCTCTTTCCGCTATCCGCCGGGGTTGAAGGGTTTCGTACTCGAGACGGTCGACATCGCCAGGCATTGGTGAAGGTGCCAGTGGTGGCGGGGCCGGCATCAAACCTCCCCGCGGCGTGTCGCTGTCGAGAATGTAATGCTGGTCGTCTTTGGTGTGATGACGAGATGGGACACCGTAATCCTCGGGGCGGTCACGATAGCGACGACGGCCGTGGCTGTGGCTGCGGCTACGGTTTCTGCCACGGCTGCGGCCACGACTGCGACGGCGACGGCGGCCGTGTTTACCAGAATCTGAGGACCCGGTTACAGACGACTCTGGCGTCAGCTCCGAATCGCTGAAGCTGTCATAGGTGTATGAACTCCGAGAACTCCGAGAATCTTGCGAGGAGACAGTGTACACTTTGGGTTTATGCCCCCTTCTTGGATCGTTCTCGATGACGTGGATCTTGGGCCCTTTGCCGCCAACCAGCTGTTTTGGATTGGGTGCAAGAGAGAGTTGGTGACGATTTTGCTGTTGATACGGCGGAGGACGTGGCGTCGGCGGCTGCATCATGCGCCGCTCCAGATCTGCGTGTTGCTGTCGCATCGTGTTATAGCGATATTGCTCTGCCAACAACTGCTGAGCTTGCTCATTTTGTCGCTGCTGATCTTCTAGTCTCCGTTTATGTTCGGCATCTCTTTTGCGTTCTTTCAGAATAGCTGTGGCATTCTCTCCGTCGCGAGGCTCTCGTTTAAAATAGACCGTCAGTGCGATGGTTTCCAGCAAGTTTTTCTTCGACTTCTTTGTCTTCGAGACAGTGACTTTTTTCGACTCACGCCCCTCCATATACTGACGGTATTCAACAGAGTCCTGGCTGAGCTTTCTGGTCTTGGAATCGATCTGCTGCAGAGTATAGCGGAACCTTTTGTCAAGATTGTGTGTTTCCAAGTCGTTTTGGGCTTTCTCGATCTGGCGTTGTTGTACCGCTGTAAGGTTCAGCTTTTTCTGCATGACTGACTTGCCCTCGTCGTTGAGCTGGCGGATGTTCCGAGTGACGGTTGGCTTGGAGAGGTCTCGGACCTCTGTCCGCGTCACGTTCTCCCAGGTCGGTTTAACGGGGTAGCCTTCATCGTCAATCTCATTTGCGTCGTTAACCTTTTCGAATCGATAGACGACATATTCAGATAGGGCTTCGCGCGCGTCGGCATCGGTCATACGCTCGCTGCGAAGGTCCGAACGTTCAACAAGTCGCTTATGTCTGAGCTCTAATGGGATAACCTCGTTAGGGGGAGGAATCGGCATTGGCTGCGGCATCATCACCGGGGCCACCACGGGAGCCGTCGGCCGTTGCATGATGCGGTGAGGCAGAGCTGGTACAGGAGCCCTAGGAGGTGGTGGAGGGGGCGGTGGGTGTGAGTTTCCATGCGGTACCGATGCCCCTTGAGGGGGTCTTGGTGGGCCAGAAGGGAGTTGGATGAAGCCAGCTTGGTTCATGTTGGCGAGGGGACAGCGAAAGATCTTGAGTACGGATGATCTTTTTGGTGAAGATAACAACAGGTAAGGATCGTTTTATAAGAATATCCCCCAAGAATAGTACTGTCTGTCAAGCTAAGCGCAAACCCAGGAAGACGACAATTTTGCAAAACGACGCGTCCCGCTAACGAGAATCTGAGAGGGTTGTGCGTGGCTGCAACCCGAGACGTATATGGCCAAAGTGAGGCGAGCACAGTTCTTTTTGGGAGGTTGAGTGAGACAAGGTGAGAAACAAGAGGGTGTGTTGGAGAAACAGTTGTGTTGTCTTTTTATCTTTGTTCCTGACGGCGGAACGCAGAATTTGACTCGGTAACGAGGACGGACTGGTCGACACTCACAGCCACAGTAACGCTTATCCGAATTGATTTCTCGAGGATATCGCAGACTCTATCGTCCAATGACCTTCGGAACGAGCGCTTGAATTTCTACCTATGGTGAAATGGAAACAGACAGGGGAATTATAGGGGCAGACCGAGAGAGGGTGCGATCTGTGTCATCGACGACGCAAAGAGGGAGCTGGCCTTCACCGTCAGAAGTAGGCAGCCTGCCTCCCATTACGCAACCTATCATCCAGCGTGGCAAGCCACCACCGTCGCCGGTTGATACATCTTTCGCGAGGCAGCCATTTGCATCATCCTTGTCGGCTCGGTGAGATGGAGGGCATCGCCCAGCTAAGCGCCGCCTACGCCGCTGCTCACCTCTGTCTTGGCCGCCCGGCTCTCAAACGGCAATTTCCCTGGCTGTAACTCGAGCAAAAACCGTTTCCTGCAGCCACGTTTTGGTGAAGGTCCGCAACTATCAGCAGCAAAGGTCTTATGCCGGTCATCTGCCCGCTGTTTTAGGTCCGAGGCACCTCGAGATGGTCGAGTTCCTTATAGCCATGCAAGGTCCCAAACATAGACAGCACGACTTGGGTCAGCATGATGTCGCCGTAACACCAGAGGCCACGGGGTAAGCGTTCGGCAGAGCGAGGAGGTCGAGGATCAACCCGGACAGGTCAGGCGAACATTTTCTTAGAATGGTTCGCACACAGAACGAGGCAACCGACCTTTTGCCATCGGCATACATATATATCCTCACCGAAACTGCGCCGCACTTTGTTCGAGGTGTGCGTGGAATCGCGTATTGTTCAGGGTGTCCAGCTGCTTGGGATGATCGACAAAGCAACGCAGCCTCACACAATTTCGACAGTGCCCTGACCCAATCGGGATTATAATTCTTACACTTTCGCAGGTGTGCCACCATCATTGACTCCAACTCGGCTCGACCACACGAATCCTTTCTCCTGTAGTGTCCAATTGGGAGGCAAACCGGAGTGTGCATCAAATGACCCGATAAGAATAGGCAGTATCATCAGTCTGCAGAATGAGGTTACATGGCAGGACAACTGCTATGTATGGCCAATCAGGTGAGCACGACACGATCGTATGGGCAAGAGCATTGATTTTTCCCCTCGATCATAGGATCCAAAAAGCTACCTATGGACATCTGGGTATGTCGGTGTGTAGACAGATAAAAGGCGACTGTATTGGATCCGTCGGTCCAACACACCAATATTGCCCGTCATGGATATTCTGTGTTGTAGAGTCGGTGCCGTACTCGGCATCGTCAGGCGAAGAGGGGTGTTGAGGGGGAGTCGGGCTACAGTCTAGGCCGCGAGCCATGTTGGAGTCCTTTCGAAGGCTTGTCGACGTCCCGTCTGACACGTCGATGGGAGGCCGCACAGATAAGAAGCTCATACCGACGGTCACTGCGAAGTGCTGCCATACATACGACAGGGCTGTTTCGTCATGTCTTGTTATTTCCTTTCCCTCTGGTCGAGTTGAAAGCCTCCCTTGCTACAAATATACAAGGACCCTGGATCGGACGAAATATTGAGACAAGAGT